TTTAAAAAAATCCTTATCTAGTTTTAGCTTATGTATTTTCAGATGAACTGGGTTGAGTCCTTTATTCCTGTTATCAAAAATTATTCATGTAGTTTGAAATTACATTTATTGAATGTTTGTTAAAACTTGTTCAATATTTTAGGCCTCTTTTTTCTTTGTGGAAAGACTTTTGGTTGATAATTATTTCTTCACTGAAAATGAGTTTATTCTTTTATTCCTCTCTTAAATGTAACATAGTGCTGCATATTGTCTTTTTTGTTTGTTTAAATGTTCTGTTTTTCTCTTCTTGTCTCACCAATTACACCTTGAGATGAAAGAAAACACGATTTTTTATCCAAGAAAAAATGTATAAGAAAAATTATAAACTTTTCTAAAGTTAGAGGTACATTTTTGTTGTGCTTATTTATCACATATTAGTTTCACATTTGGCTATGCCATTTTCTTTTTCTAAGATTAAATTATTCTTCGATTCCTGTGTTGTTTTTCTGTTATTGATAATATCTTTTTTTACAGTGCCTTGATAAATCATGCTTATACATGGCAAACGCAAAACTTTGAAAGTCTTTGAAACATCTTTAATTATTAAGGTAGATTAGAGTGGACTGGGACTAACTCTGCTATTGTATCAGTTTATAACTATGTAATATCTTTATTAATTTAGAATTATTTAATCAGAGTAACTCTGTCCTACTTGAAGAGATTGATAAAAATGAATTTATGCTACTATAATATTAAAATTTAAAAGCTTATATCAGTCAATAAGAAGCCAGAGCTTCCAAAGCACCTGGTGTCTAAGTGCTCTGAAGTCCTCCCACTCTGCTCCCCAAGGCGAGTCTGCAAAGATCCACAGGGCTGAGAATAAGACAGGGAGGAGTCTGTGTCAGTAGTAAATCTTGTGTCCAGTAAACATATATAGTGTGACAGAGATAAGCAAGGAAATACAAAAAGCCCAAAAATAAATGGGAGAAAGATGTGGGAAAGAACGAAATTTCACTCTTGTCTGTAACAGTTTACTTCCTTCAGCACTGCAGTTTTATTTTTTGCCCAAATTCTCCATGTAGTCATTTGTTGGTTTCATCTATGGAGCAAGAACAGTCAGTTGTGGCTCTGGTTTTGTGAGAGGTCTGCCTTTATTTCTGTCTTGTTAGTTAGGAACTTCACAGGAACACACAGGAACACCAGCACTGCAGCATTAGGGTATTGATTCATAACTTTCTAATATTCTGAAAACTGCTAGAGGTGTGCTTTTTCTAAGAAACATGAAAGAATTACAGATATCTAAACTTGGGGTGAGAGAAGACTGACATGTAAAAGTCTAGATCATTCGTTTGGAAGTCAGAATATTTAGATGCCAGTCACACTTCTATGAGCAATTGCTCATTCCTCTGAGACTGAAGAGTTTACTTCTCATCACTTCATTTACCAATCTGTAAATAAAAAGAATGGATTTGGCAATTCTTTCTCGTTACTTTTAAGAAATGTTATGTTTATTAGCCCACGTTTGCAGTATGTGGTTCACGTTCCCGGCGTGTTGATGCGTGTGTACACGTCTTGTGTGTTTTTTACTCCCTCTCCTCTTCTCCCTCCTCCCTTCATTTCTTGGTCCCCTACCCTTTTGCAAGAAATTCATCCCTTTTCTGACATCTCTCTGTATCACTCGGTTTCTCTTGTATGAGAAACCAAAGTATAAATAAAGAGCAAAATAAGATAGATAATTGGATCTGGCAATTCTTGATCCTTTTATACTGCGGATAAAACCATTTTAGTAATTCTAAAGGTAGAGCTTCCAGAATCATGCTATTTAAAAATGTGAACATAAAACTCTAAATGTTGTAAAGTTGACAGATATTCAAAACCAAAGTCTTGGTGACAGGAAAAATGATCTGAGTATGAAACTATTTAAGTTTTAGAAACAATTTGGCTGAAACATCTAGCTGACTCAGTAATACAGTTTAACGGGTTATCCAAAACTCTTGATTCCTCATGATTTGCAAGGTAATGAAGAATGGAATCTTAATGGGTTTCTATCCTACTATTGTCCTATTTTGTATACATGTGGATGATAGTGATTTATTTCTTTTTATTTCTCCTGAATTATAGGGTGGTTTCACTCGTAAATATTCTCTTAGCTCAAAAACAGGAACACTTCTTCCAGAATTCCCCAGCGCTCAACACCTTGTGTACCAAGGATGTGTTTCTAAGGACAAGGTACCAGTTAAAGATACTTCTGCATTGATTTTCTGATATGTGGGTTCCATATCTCAACTTGTTGGGAATCTCATGGTACTTGCAGGAAACAGTCAGAAATTTACATAATCAAACAGAATTGACTGATTTATGGGAGAGATAAACACTTACTAAGATTGATTAGTACTTTCCAATTAATTATTTACCATCTCATGATAGTATGTAATCAGAGGGTGGTAAAATAAACCACACAAGATAAAGGATTTTTATTTAAAACTCTGTGTTGGAAAGAAAGTACTGTAGTGTGTGCACCACGTGCAGGTTTCTCAATTGAGGGCCTCATGTTTTCCGTGAGCTCCGTTTTTCTTTAGTGCACAGTAATCAAGCATTTCCTTAGGACAGAATTTGCCCCTAGCACAGAGAAGGAGATTCCTAGAGAATGCAGGTACACAGATAACACAAAGCCTGTAAATTCTAAAATGCTCTGCTCTTATGTTTGTAATTATTTTAAAACCTTAGGAAGTAATATTTTCATTTGATTGCATTTATAAGTAATCTTCAGTATGACTTTTTAGGGCTCAGTAGTAAAGTCTACATCTTATCCCTGTTTTATTTCTGTACTTCTAGGGTCATTTGTGAGGGCCTTTTGGCCATTTAATATCAGGAACCATTATTAAATCAGAGCATAATGATGTCCACATATTTCTTTCAACCAGAGATTATTTTAAAATAAAAATACTAATTATTTCAGGAAAACACCTCTCAGAGTACATTGAATCAATTCATATTTTTGAGGTGTAAACATAAAGTAATATGATTAACAGCCAGCTGTGCTATGTTAGCAATGGGCTCTTTATAAGAAATAGAAGAGCGCATCGATTTTTTCATAGCCATTGATAGATAAGGACGGACCTGGAGTAACTCACATGGTTCCTTCAGTTGCACACACTGTCAAGTGGGAGTAGCAAAGCCCTGGAGACAGACCTCATGCGGAACCTGAGGGAGTCCCCAGAGGGTATCTGCTTCCTTCTGTTCTCCTCCCTGCCACATCAAGGTCCCACATTTTCTTTAGCTACGGATGTAGTGTGCAGGAGGACTTCATGACTGAAAACTCGCCAGTGAATGCTGGCAGGGCAGCTTGTGGGCTCTGTTCTTTGAGGGAGGATGTTTGGGGCACAAAAAGGATTTTTCATGAAACACATCACAAGATGTTTACTGTGAGTAGACCTGTGAGTGGGGGAGAGAGGACGGGAGGAGAGAGAGAAGGGCAGGGGAGACAGAAACAGAGACAGACATGTGGAACTTGCTCTGATAAATTACTTTTCTCTGCTGGTCTTCAAAGAATTCCTCAGCCATCAACCTGAAAGACTGGTAGATCCTTTCTCACTCAGGGACCAAAGTTCTCATGAGACCCTGCTTCTTTAGTTCATTCCCAGTGGAATTACCCGTGGACATCGGCTGTGACACTGATCTTGTCCCTCGAAGACGGCTGAGCCCTTCCACCCTCCTGGCCTGTAGCCAGGCTCCCCTGCAACTTGTCAGTTCCTAGAAAGAGCATGAGACTGAAGCCAAGAGCCTGGAGCAGCCGATTCCTTAGGGCAGGGACAGGACTGCTCATGACGCTGGCCGGCACAGGTTTCCTGACCCCACATTGTCACTCAGGAAAGCTGCCACCTGGCCTCAGCCTCCCACGATGAGCTCTGTTCTCAGACAACTGCGTGATTACATTTATAAAGAACACAGTATATTACAGTTAAAATTCATTGTCCTAAAACTAGGAAACTATTAACCACATGAAGTGGTAATAAAGAGTAAAAGTTTTGTGATTGGTGTATAAAGCAGTACATTTTGGCACATGGAAATATTTGTGAAGATAAGAACTTGCTTTCACCTTAGTAGGGTTTAGGGCTTATTTTTAGGGTTAATTTTTGGAAATGGTATGACTCCCTTGCATCTTTCATATTGTAATTAATCTTATTTAAAAAGTATGTCTTGGCAATCCATCTAAGAACAAAGAGCAAGTTTTATTTTCATGGATTGGAGTATATCCTGCTGGAGGTGTCTTGAGGGTAGCGTGCCTCACTGGACGTGCACTGGTAGCTTGCAGGCCATCATTATTCAGCTGTTAGGAGACCACAGAGTGTATGCTGTTCTGGGGCTGCAGGAAGAAGGAGCCGAGCACAGTGCTGGGCTCTAAATGATGCAATCAAAATAGCTATGGCAACTGGAAATAAAGACCGTTGAGAGTAAGCACTAAATGTTTGAAACTTCTTCTACAAATACGGATATTAGTGCTTCAGCTACATAATATTTAGTAAATTCCCAGTGTGTGCAGTCACAACTATACATACATCACATTGTTCTTTGATTTTTATTAACCTCGAATGAGCAATGTTCGCTTACTACTCAAAGACAAAATGTTCAGAGCTCATCTGGTCAGGTGCAGTGAAGCCAGCATTCAGGGTGTGCTGACTTCAAACTCTGAGACCACTAAGCAACACTACTGCAAACCCACTTGAAGCTGTGTGGGTGGTGATACCACCTCTAAGTTTCTTGTTAAGTAGGAAATTAGGATGCTGCTGTGGCACTGCTCCTGCAGCTGCCTTTCCCTTTGTTCTTACAGATCATGTAATCCTCAGCTTACTTGACTTTCTCAATTCACAAATCAGTCAACTCCTTGAAATAGGGCTTTGGCACTTTGACCCTCAGCACTGAGCATTATGCCTGGGGCACAACAGGAGCTTACACCTTGTGTTGGATAAATGAACCAATGTAAAAGGATCCCTGGTTAAGCTTTTTCTTCCTTGAACTAGGTTGACACCCTCATAATGATGTACAAAACTCACTGCCAGTGTATCCTGGACAACGCAATCAATGGGAACTTTGAAGAGGTAAGGGTGACGAAGGGCAGGTCCCTGACCGCATTGCACTTGCTGTCCTCTCCAGGACTAATGAGCTCAGACCAAGCAGAATCTTACATGCGTATTCTACCTTGCACCCAGATCCAGCATTTCTTACTACACTTTTGGCAAGGAATGCCTGACCATCTCCTCCCCCTGCTTGAAAATCCTGTGATCATTGACATTTTCTGTGTCTGTGACTCCATCCTTTATAAGGTAAGCTCTCTGGGAGCCTTCACCATGAGCCACTTGTTTCTTTAATAGCATTCTACTTGGAGCCCAGATGTGTATCTATGATAAATTTATTTCTAGTTGAAGATGCATTGGTGTTTTAGGATGACAAAATGACTTAGTGAAAGTTTAAGACTGTTCATATTTTTAATACAAATATTCGTCAAGTAGAACTCAACTTTTATTTATAGCTAAAAGTGATCTAAAAGGTGGCATGTTTGGTAATGTATGAAAACTCAGTTTTTTATTAACTCAGTTAATAAAACTCAATTTTATTAGCTCACTGTTTTCAGATTAAATGGCAGATGTCTATTTCACGGTACCTGCATTTTAAGGAAAAGTAGAAATTACACACTTTCATATGATTAATGCTTTGGAAACCACTAGTTTTTTTTTTCCTCTTCATTGAGTTTATTGGTACATTTTAGGTATACAGTACAGTTACATTCATTATTGGGATCTTGTACCTTTACATGACAGGGCTTGGTTTTCATTTTTTCCCCTTGTCCCTGCCCTCCCTTCACCCCTCCGCCTCTACCCCTTTACAAACACTTCATTTCCATTTTTTCATTTTTTCATATTTTTTCTTTTCCCTTATTTTCCCCTACCCTTCCCACTTTCCCCACACCTTTAGCCCTTTTTTTCCCATTTCACAATGTCAGTTATCTCATTAGGATCTTATGTACTGTTACAGTTTATTCACACCAGAGAAACTATTCAGTATCTACACATGTGTGTCTTATTTATTTCACTTAGGAGTATATCCTCAATATGTATCCATTTTCCTATGAATGACTCTAATTTCTCATTTTTTATGGCTAAGCAGTATTCCATTTTATAGAAAAACCACATCTTCTTTATCCAATCTTCAACTGATGGCAAGTGAGCTGTTTCCAAGTTTTAGCTATTACAAACTGTGCCACTATAAACATAGGTGTGCATATATCTTTGTGATATGAGATGCAAATGAAAACAGCACTGAGATTCCACCTCACCCCACAAAGAATGGCTGCTATCAGTAAATCAAACAATAACAAATGTTGGCGGGGTTGTGGGGAGACAGGAACCCTTCTCCATTGTTGGTGGGAGTGCAGACTGGTGTAACCACTGTGGAAATCAATATGGAGATACCTCAAAGAGCTGGGACTAGAGGTCCCATTTGACCCAGACATCCCTCTGCTGGGTATCTTTCCAAAAGAATTAAAAGAATCATAACACAGAGATATATGGAAACCACTAGTTTTAATACATTAGTGTCCAATTTTGTTTTTAAACCAAATGAGAGTTCCTAGATGTGTTCATGGAGGTCAGGAAGGCATCCTGAGTAGGGATGAGATGGTTGGCTTTCTACTGAATGTTCACTGGCAAGGGACAGAATTTTGGTCCTGGCCAAGCAGCAACAAGGTCCAAGTGGAAGAACAAAATTATATCGCAAAATGGCATTTTAAAGTGAGTTTTAAAGTAATCACAGCTACTCAGGAGTCTGAGGCAGAAAGATTGCAAATTTAAGACCAACTTGGTTAAATTAGTGAGAACCTGTCACAAAATAAACAAATTTTTAAAAAGGTTTGGGTGCAGCTCAGTGGTAGAGCATCCCTTGGCTCCATCCCTAGTAGCCCTCTCACCACAAGAAGTGTTTTCCTACCTACCAAACTGTCATAAGTGAAAATAAAAGCATTCCTTTTAAGGAATAATCTGAGTTTGCAAGATAACTCTAAGTCTGTTAAGCAAGCTCATGTCAGTGACTCAGCTTTGCATAAGAGTGGACTCTTCTACTCTTCGGGTAGACTTTGTCCAGGATGGCTCTGCAGACCAAGAGCTGACATATGGGCCTGAGCGACTCCAGGCCCATGTCTTCTCTGTCTGTTCTCCCTCATCACAGGCAAGAGAACGAAGGAGTAAGCATGCAGCATTTGCTGCCTATAGCTCAAGTTGGAAAAGGACAAAGGAGAGCAGGGACAGTCTTGTTTTTCTGGAGTGAATATGAATGCCATTGTTTAGGAAGAAAAGGTTCAGTTTGCTCTGACTGGTTGCTTAATGCTTGAGAAAGCAACTGTAGTCAGAGGCACAGCTTCTAAGAGATCCTGCTACAGTGACGCATGCATATCCGTATTTATAGCAACACTGCTCATAATAACTGAAGATTGGAAGCAGCCTGTATGTCCATCAGCAGATGTACGGATTGAGAAAATATGGTATTTATACAGAGTGGAGTACTACTCCACCACAAATGAATAAACATGAACCATTTGTAGGAAAATGTATGCACCATAAGACCATAATGGTAAGTGAAATAAATCAGCCACACAAGCTTGAATATCATATGGTTTCTCTTATGCGAGAATCCCAAAGCATAAGTAAATTAAAGAACAAAATATAGACAATAGGGAGCAGAGAGACAGATCTTTTGCAAAAGGTAGGGAGACCAAGAGATGGGGGAGGATTGGAGAGAGGTATAAAAAAGAGTTAAGATGTGTTATATTCATGCACCGACTCTCCACGACGAATGTAGTCATTATGTACTACAAATATGTACTAATAAGAACTAAAAATTTAAAAAAGGAAGGGCCTGGGCTCATGCCCACACATCAGCCACCAGGACAACAGAACAGTCTGGGCTGTGTCTTTACTCTTCTAAGAAATATCTTAGAAACCTAGATGAGCTATTTTTTTATATTTTAGTTCAACACAAAATCTTGAGTTTAAGTATTTTTCTTTTTTTGCTTTTTTGAGACAAGGCTTGTCTGTGTAGTGCAGGCTGGCCTCAGGCTTACGGCAATCCTCCTGCCTCAGTCTCCGGAGTGCTGGGATTATAGGCGTGTGCCACCGTGCCCAGCTTGTGAGTTTATGCAACTTCAAGCCTACCTAGTTTCTCTCTTTCACTGCATGCCCAGGGAATCAGAGCACTTTCCATAGAACCCTGTGCACTGAGTGCAAGGCCTTCCTCCCACTTGCAGGGGCCAGGAGATGCAGACCGCCCCACGCAGGGCAGTGGGAACCAACAGCTAGCTCCCGCAGTCACACTCCACTCAGACACACACACATCTGGGGATAAAATCGTAACTCACATGAAGGAAGCTGTGAAGAAAAAGCAATGAGCAGGCAATGTGTCATCTTTGACGTGCCTGGGAAGATTTATGCTAACTCTGTTTTGCTGTGATTAAGGTTCTTACAGATGTACTCATCCCTGCAACAATGCAAGAAATGCCTGAAAGGTACGTTCAGTGACTTAGATGACAGTCGCATAGCAGAGCTTCACCTGCGCATTGAATCAAGGAACGCATAGGCACTGATTCGCTGCTCACTTACCCAGAAGAATATTTGTACTTCTGGGCATCAGGAAATGTGCCCTAATTCTTGCATTGAACCTTGTTAAACAAAACAAGTGGGTTAAAAACTTGAAATCCCTTTAAATTTAGCAGTTGATTAAGTTAAAAATCAATATTTATTGACCTTTGAGGTACTAAAAATATTTTTCAAGGAAAACAAGTTGGAGGAAAATAATTCATGGAAAACACCACAATAATTAATTAAAGCTATCAGGAAACTTACTGAATTTTTGCTATTAAATTTAATCTTAATTGTAAAATCAAGACGTGAAGTAATGAAATTAGTACCTATTTTAAAAAAGGAATCAATTTCAAAGAGTTTATTGAAATAACTGAAGATTTTTCACAAAGTCCTTGCCAATGTAAGAACAGCAAAAATCTGAAAAACAGAGTCAGATTTTCCCTTGAAAGAGAAGTCGCATGGAATAGTGAAAATTATTTTAGATTTATGCTAATAATGTTGAAAACATGCTATTAAGGTTGTTTAACATTATAGAATAATGTTAAAAATAATGTTGACTAATAAAATATTTTACTTTTGATTTATCTTTTCCTCTAGATTTTTAAATTTATGTACATATCAGTTGTGAATGGTCTGGTCAATAGTGCCTTTTTTTGTGGAACTGGTAATTGAACTCAGGGTCTCAGCACTGAGCTACATCTCCAGGTGCCCCACTTTTATTTGGAGACAGGGTCGTGCTGAGTTATTAAGTTGCACAGGCTGGACTTGAGCTTGTGATCCTTTTGTCTCAGCTTCCCAGAGTACTGGTGCTACAGGCATGTGCACTGTGCCTTGCAATACTTCTTTTCATGATCAGCATTTAATCTGTGCTCTCAGGTAGTACATCTGTGTCATAGAAACATGTTTATACTGACTCACTGGTGGCACATGACTGTTTAAAACAGTTTGAATGGCCAGGGATTTAGCTCAGCGGTTTGGTGGCCTGCCTTGCAAGCGCAAGGACCCGAGTTCAATCCCCAGTACCAAAAAAATAAAATAAAAAAATAAAACAGTTTGAATAGCTGATGTGTGCTGAACACAACATAGGCTTATAGTCTTTACATAGATTCCTATGAAAAGCCTAACATGTTCTTTCTAGAGAATAACAAACATGTGCAAGTACCTTTAAAAACACCTTACAATTTCAGCACATTTTTAGTGTCTTGGATTATAGCATCAAATTTTTTTCTAGGAATATCTGTAAATATACACATCTTAAAATAGAGCTGTAGTATACAAGCTGTGACACTATATTGTAAGAGCATTTTCATGTCAATAAATATAGATCAATAAATATAGATCATCTTTACCTTTTTAAGTGCTAGCATAAATTTCCAGCATCTGGAGAACAGTGCCCTTATTCAATTCCTTTTCATTGAATAATTGGATTTTTAAAAAGACAGCCTTTCATCTTACCCTAAAGTAGCTATTATGAGTCTGACTCCTCAAATAAGGAGCCAACCTGGAAACAGAAAGCACTGACTTACCTCCCGGTCAGCTCCCAAGAGGAAGCTCTTCTTTAGGGAGCAGAGCTGGGGTCTGACTGCAGCTCTGTGGCTCTATTTCTCCTCCTATGTGGCTCTATTTCTCCTCCTACTCGTCAGCATAGGCAGCACTCAAATATGTTTAGATTTGTCTTCTTGGGATAAGATACGATGATTTCAGATTGACTTATATGTTCTCATAATACACTCAAGGCCAACATTTGCAACTTTCTAAGTTGGGTCTATTTAGTGTGTGCTTTTGATAATTCACAAAATTATTTGGGTTGTGAGAACATGTTACTAAAACCAATATTAAGTATAAGAAATGTTATTACCCCCATGTGACATCTACTAATGCCCCATCAAGAGTACATTCACATTCTCCCAGAACTGTCTTTTATAGAAAACAAGGCATCATGTGTTAATATTAATAATGAAGTATAATTTACCAGGTCCCCCTGCATGTTAAGCTTTTACGTGGACATTTTCCAGCAATTATCTACTAAATTCCTCGCAACAATCCTGTGCCCAGGCCCTGTGCTTATTCCCCCTGAAAGGATGAGGAGACCGGAGCTTGAGGGAATTGAATATTTTGACGAGTATGAGTGGAGACACTTGCGCTGATGTGTCTCACCTCAGATTTGTGCTTTTGGGAGCATAGAGCCTCAGTGTACCTGCATAGAATGCACTTACTCAATCCACTTCTGGACAACATAAAAGTTAACATGGAGTCTTCTTTGCAGCCTATTAGCAGACATAAGAAATTTTGCTAAAAATTGGGAACAGTGGGTTGTTTCATCCTTGGAAAACTTGCCAGAAGCCCTAACTGACAAGAAAATACCCATTGTACGGAGATTTGTGTCCTCCCTGAAGCGACAGACATCATTCTTACACCTTGCTCAGGTATGCGGGTGAGCTGAGAGTGTTATCGCCACATTAAAAATAAATCTGCTATTAAGCTCAAGGAGCTCTCACAGATGGAAGAAATTAGTCAGGAAACAGCACAGTGCTCTAGAGCAAATACCAGGGCCAAAGAAGGATGTTTTGGGGAAACCTGGTGAAATTGCAGTTGTACCTGGGGTTAATAATACTGTACTGATGTGAACTTCCTGTTTGCAATGTATGGTGCTCCAGTACATTGATCAGAAGCCAGGTAGTGGGTATATGGAAATTCTCTGCACTATGTTTTCAACATTTCTCTTATTTAAAATTATTTCAAAATAAAAACTAAAAAATAATTGTAGTTCTATTAAAACATAAAACATTATATACCAATGAATGCAACTTTGGTGTAAATTAAGACTGTGAGGAATGAGCACATGTGGTATTTGATGTTGTAAAAGCCCACAAGACTGACAGGCTTTAAACAGCTGTTAATTATGGCTTTCCTATGGGGGAGGGACAAGAACAATGCTTAAATGAGGAATATACCATGTACTGTTAAATACATTATCACTGCTCCAAATGATTGCTTTATAAAAACGTTCAGTGCCTGAATTTTAAAAGACTAGCTAGGAATTGTTCTACACAAGAAGTTTAACATATTGATCTTTATTTTGAAGCCATAAATTAAATGGATTGTTTCATTTTCTAAATCCCAAAATGATTTTCAGACTGTTAACAGAGACGATCATGAATCTTAGCTATTGCTTTTTAATTTTAAAATAAGAAAAGTCATTTATGATTCTTTTTCCTCAAGGAACTATTTTTCTTGAAGCAAAAACTTTCCTCTAGATATACACATTATAAATGATACAAGGTAGCACCACTTTTACTTTCTCTATGCAGATTGCCAGACCAGCTCTCTTTGATCAACATGTTGTGAATTCAATGGTATCTGACATTGAAAAAGTTGACTTGAATAGTATTGGATCTCAAGCTCTTCTTACAATTTCTGGCAGCACAGACACTGAATCTGATATCTACAGTGAAAGTAAGTCCTTCTTTATTAAGAATGAGTTTTCAGGGCTGGGATTTAGCTCAGCGGTTCGGTGGTCTGCCTTGCAAGTGCAAGGACCTGAGTTCAATCCCTGGCACCCCCTCAAAAAAAAAAAGAAAAAGAAAAGAATGAGTTTTCCACCTTCAGCATTGGACACGGTGGACTGGATATCTCTTCAAGGTGGGGCCTGTGCCAGGGGTGGTAGGAGGTTAGCAGCTTCCCCTGCCCTCTGTCCACTGGAGTCCACAGGTGGCATTCACCAAGCAATGACAACCAGAAGTGTTTCCAGACATTTTCAAATGTTCCTTGGCTGGAAAAACAGATCTGTTTGAGAAAATATTTGTATAGAGAAGTCTCCTGTGAGTCTGATGGGCTTTCTTTTGTATGTGATTTCTTTCTTCTCTCTAAATGCTTATAGAACTTTGTTCTTCTGTTGGGTTTCTGGAATCTTTACTATTATATGCCCAGGTGTAGATTGTGTGTGTGTGTGTGTGTGTGTGTGTGTGTGTGTGTGTGTGTGGTAACAGGGATGGAACTCATGACTTTGCCCTTGTGAGACAGGCAGCAGAACCACTGAGCTAAATCCCTGGCTCAGATTTATTATTATTACTATTTTTTTGATCATGGCTAGTTGGAGTCCTATATGCTTCTTTATCTGTATTGTATGTCAAGTTCTTTTCCCTTGCTTGGGAAGTTTTCTGCCATTACTTCTGTGACTTTTTTCTCTCTCTCTCCATGCACTAAACTAAAATGTGAATGAATTCACTAAATATTAAAACAGAAACACTAAACTGTTTGGAAGAGATTGTCCTGAAGACATTGGCATAGGAAAAGATTTCATGAACAAAACCTCAATTGCACGTGATCTAGCTCAAAGAGTCAACAGGTGGGATCTCTTCTTACTAAACAGCTTTTGCACAGCAAGCGAAACCACCAACATTATGAAGAGACAACCCACATTGTGTGAAAAAAGTTTTATCAGCTGTTCCTCAGACGAAGGTCTACTATCTAGAATATATAAATAACTTGAAAAAATCAGACCTCCCAAATTTAAAGACTCAATCTAGAAATGGACATCTGAAATGAAAAGGCATTTCTCAGACAAAGAAGTAGAAATAGCAATAAACATATGAAAAAAATGTTCAACATCACTGATCATTCAAGAGATGCAAATTAAAACCATGCTGAGATTCCACCTCACCCCAGAAAGAAGGGCTGCTATCATAAAATCAACCAATATCAAATGCTGGCAGGGCTATGGGGAAAAAGGAATCCTTCTCCACTTTTGATGGGAGTGTAGACTGGTACAACCACTATGGAAATCAGTGTGGAGATACCTAAAAAAACTAGAGGCCCCATTTGACCCAGCTATTCCATTGCTGGGTATCTTCCCCAAAGAATTAACAGTATCATAGTACAGAGATACGTATGCACCTAAAAACTTGGAAGCAGCCCTATTATCTATCAGCTGGTGACTGGATAAAGAAAACGTGTTTTGTTTTTATAAAATAGAGTACTACTCAGCCATAAATAATGAGAAGTTAGAGACATTTATAGTCAAGTGGATGCACATTGAGGTGATACTCTCTTAAGTGAAATAAATAGTACACATGGGTGTAAATACCAAATAGTTTCTCTAGTGTAAGAAACTGGAAGTGTAAGTAAGGACCAGAAGGTATAATAGATAATGCAAAATAGGAAGAGAAGGTCCAAAGAGGAAGGGGAAATGGGAAGGGTTGAAAAAAAGAAAGAAGTGTAATTAATATGAGAAATGAAAAAAATGGAAACAAAGTCTTTACGAATAAGGAGGGTTGAAGGGGTTGAAGAGAAGGGAGGGGAATAGGGAAAAAATAAAAGCCAAGATATATTATGTAAAGGGACAAATTCTGAATGGTGAATGTCATTATATTGCATACCTAAAATGTACCAATAAAATTAATTTTAAAAAGAAAATCTTTACAAAAACATTTTTAATTTAAAAAGTTTTTCTCTATTTAAGAACATTTGTACTTATTATATAAAACCTGGAAAAGACAGAAGACAAAAAAATCTGTAATCTCACTTTCTGGAAATAACTAAATACAAAAAACCCACATATAATCAGAATCGTTTTGCGTTTTGGGAGTTCCCTTCCTGTTCTGCACGTGCACACACGTTTGCATGTGTGCCACCCTTGTCATCACGGGAGTGTGATGCAGAGAAATGATGCCGAGCACAGTACTATTGAACAGAGGCCCCCAACAGTGCCATCACTGGGCAACTAGGCTTGGCTTCCAAGGGACGTCAGCCCACAGTTTTCCCCCCTTCTCTCTGAACAAGCAACAACATCAGTGCACAGACTACTTCCTCTCTGCACACCACCCTCGACTTCTCTTTTTGTGTCTTTTTTTTCTCATTCAGTTTATTGGTGCATTTTAGGTGTACAGTGCAGTTACATTCATCATTGGGATCTTGTACCTTTACATGACAGGTCTGGGTTCTCATTTTTATGCCCTTGTCCATGTCCTCCCTTCACCTCCTCCTTCCTCCCCACTTACAAACATTTTCATTTTCTCCTATTTTTTTCTTTCCCTTACTACCTTTCTCCTACCATTCCCACTTTCCCTACACCTTTAGCCTTTTTTTTCCTATTTCACATTGTCAATTATCTCATTAGGATCTTATGTACTATTATACTTTATTCACACCAGACAAGCTATTTGGTATTTACACATGTGTGACTTATTTGTTTCACTTAGGAGTATATCCTCAATATGTATCCATTTTCCTATGAATGAATCTAATTTCTCATTTGTTATGGCTGAGTAATATTCCATTTTATAGAAAACCACATCTTCTTTATCCAGTTTCCAACTGATGGGCAAATGGGCTATTTCCAAGTTTTAGCTATTACAAACTATGCCACTATAAACATAGGTACACATATATCACTGTGATATGATTCTTTTAATTCTTTTGGAAAGATGCCCAGCAGAAGGATGGCTGGGTCAAATGGAACCTCTAGTCCCAGCTCTTTGAAGTATCTCCACATGGATTTCAATAGTGGTTACACTAGTCTGCACTCCCACCAACAATGAAGAAGGGTTCCTTTCTCCCCACAACTCTGCAAACTTTTGTTATTGTTTGATTTCTTGATAGCAGCATTCTTTGGGGGGTGAGGTGGAATCTCAGTGTTGTTTTCATCTGCATCTTTCAAATGACCAGTGATGTGGAACATTTTTTCATATATTTACTTGCTGCTTTTATTTCTTTGAGAAATCTCTGTTCATTTCAGATGCCCATTTTTTAATCGGGTCCTTATATTCATAAAGTCTAAAGTCTTTTCCTATGCCAATGTCTTCAAGAGTTCTGCCTAACTTATCTTCCAGCAAGTTTAGTGTTGCTGGTTTTTTTTCAGCTTAAATTGAGTTTATTGGTACATTTTAGGGATACGGTACAGTTACATGCATTGTTGGGATCTTGTACCTTTACATTACAGGTTTTGGTTCTCATTTTTTCCCCTGGTCCCTGCCCTCCCTTCACTTCCTATGCCAATGTCTTCAAGAGTTCTGCCTAACTTATCTTCCAGCAAGTTTAGTGTTGCTGGTTTTTTTTCAGCTTAAATTGAGTTTATTGGTACATTTTAGGGATACGGTACAGTTACATGCATTGTTGGGATCTTGTACCTTTACATTACAGGTTTTGGTTCTCATTTTTTCCCCTGGTCCCTGCCCTCCCTTCACTCCCTCCTCCCCTCCCCATCTACAACCACTTTATTTCCATCTTTTCATTATCTCACATTTTTTTCTTTTCCCTTTTTCCCTTCCCCTACCTGTCCCACCTTCCCTACACCTTTAGCTCCTTTCTTCCCATTTCTCAATGTCAGTAATCTTATTAGGATCTTCTGTATTATTGCAGATTATTCACACCAGAGAAACTATTCAGTATTTACACATGTGTGCCTTATTTATTTCACTTAGGAATATATCTTCCTAATATGTATCCATTTTCCTATGAATGAATCTATTTTCTCATTCTTTATGGCTGAGTAATATTCCATTTTATAGAAAAACCACATCTTATTTACCCAGTTTCCAAGTGATGGGCAAATAGGCTGTTTCCAAGTTTTAGCTATTACAAACTGTGCTGCTATAAACATGGGTGTGCATACTTCTCTGTGATATGATTTAGTGTTTATGTTTTAATATTTAGATCTCTAATCCACTTTGATTTTGATTTAATGCATGGTGAAAGATAAGGGTCCAGTTTTAATCTGTGGCAGGTTGAAATTCAGTTTTTCCAACACCATTTATTGAAGAGGTTATCTTTCCTCCATTGAGGATGGTCAGCTCCTTTGTCAAAGATGAGGTAGCTGAGTACATCTGGATTTGTTGTTTTGTCTTCCAATCTGTTCCACTGATCCTCAGGTCTGTTTCTTTGCCAGTACCATGCTGTTTTTACCACAGTGGCATTGTGGTGTAGTTTCAAATTGGGAATTGCTATACACGCTGCCATGTCTCTGTTGCCTAGGATGGCTTTTGCTATTCTAGGTCTCTTACGGTTCCAAATGAATTTTTGGATTTCTTTTTCTACTTTTGTGAGCTATAGTGGTGGAGTTTCAATCAGCATTGTATTGAATCTGTATAGCAGTTTTGGTAGTATGGCCAATATCACTATGTTGATTCTTCCTACCCAGGAGCAGGGGATATCTTTCCATTTTCTTACATCCTCTTTGATCTCTTTTTTCAGAGTGCTGTAGTTTTCAGTGTAGAGGTCTTTTGCTTCTTTTGTTAGATTGATTCCCAGATACTTCATTTTTTTGGATGCTATTGTGAAGGGAATTGTTTCTCTAATTTTTCTCTCAGTGAGTCTGTTTTTGTGTACACAAAGGCTATTGATTTTTGAGTGTTGAGCTTGTATCCAGCTACTCTGCTAAAAGTGTCAATTAAGTCTAGGAGTCTTTTGCTGGAATTTTTTGGGTCTTCACTGTAGAGTATCATGTCATCAGCAAATAATGATAGTCTAACTTCTTCCTTTCTTATCTTTATTGCTTTAATTTCTTTCTCTTGTCTAATTGCTGTGGCTAATGTTTCCAGAACTACATTGAAGAGGAGTGGTGATAGTGGGTATCCTTGTCTTGTTCCTGATTTTAACATGAAGGTTTTCAGTTTTTGGCCATTTAATATGATGTTGGCTGTTGGTTTTTCATAGATAGCCTTTATTTAGTTGAGATATAGACCATCTATTACAATTTTTTTGCAGGGTTTTTATCATGAATGGGTGCTGAATGTTGTCAAATGCTTTTTCTGTATTTATTGAGAGGATCATATGGTTTTTAATCCTTGACTTTGTTAATATAGTGTATTACATTTATTGATTTACGTATATTTAACCATCCTTGCATCCCTGGAATAAATCCAACTTGGTCAGGATGTATGATCTTCTTGATGATCCTCTGTATTCTGTTTGCTAGTATCTTATTAAGGATTTTTGCATCTATATTCATTAAGGAGATTGGCCTGTAGTTCTCTTTTTTAGGTGCATCTTTCCCTCGTTTGGGAATCAAAGTGATACTTGCTTCCAGGAATGAATTTGGAAGTATAGCTTCGTTTTCAATTTCATTGAAAAGTAGTTCTCTAAATGTCTTGTAAAATTCAGCAGTGAATCCATCAGGACCTGGGATTTTCTTTTTGGCAAACTTTTAATTGCATTTTCAATTTCACTGATTATAATTGGGGTGTTTAAAATGTTTTTATCTTCTTTGTTCAACTTTGGTAATTCATAAGTATCTAGAAATCTGCCCATTTCTTCTGTGTTTTCCATTTTATTGGAGTACAGGTTCTCAAAGTAGGTATTAACGATCCTCTGGATTTCTTTTGGGTCTTCTGTGACTTCACCTTTTTCATTCCTGATTGCATGGATCTGAGCCTTTTCTTTCCACTTTTTGATAAGGTTAACTAAGGGTTTATCAATTTTATTTATTCTTTCAAAAAACCATCTCTTTAATTCATACCATTTTCTTAGTTTCCATTGCATTGATTTCTGCTGTAATCTTTATAATTTCCTCTCTTGTTCGAGCTTTGGGTTTTTCTTGCTCTTCTTTTTGTAGGGGTCTAAGGTTCATCATTAGGTTATTTATTTGAGCTTGCTCTGTTTTCCTAGTGTGGGTATTCAGTGCTATGAATTTTCCACATATAACTGCTTTCATTGTGTCCCATGGATTCCTATATGTTGTACTGGCATTTTCATTTATTTGTAAAAACTGTCTCATTTTTTCTTTAATTTCATCTGTGATCCATCAATTTTTCAGGAGAGTGTTGATCAGTTTCCATGTGTTTGTGTGCTATTGAGTTTCTTATGCTATTGATCTCCAGCTTGATTGCACTATGATCTGATAGTATACAGGGGATAACTTCCATTCCTTTACATTTATTCAAACCTGTTCTGTGAGCTAGTATGTGGTCTATCTTGGAGAATGACCCATGTACAAATGAAAAGAATGTATATTCTGATTTTGTGGGGTGGAACACTCCATAGACATCTATTAAGTCCATGTATTCAAAAACTTGGTTCAGTTCTAGTATTTTGTTGTTGATTTTTTTGCCTAGATGTTCTATTTGTGAAAGTGTATTTGTGCTTATTTGGTTTTTTATGTTACTTAATAGTTGTGTTTATATAGTTTGGGGCATTAATATTTGGTGCATATATGTTTATAATTGTCATCTCTTCCTCTTGAATTGTTCCATTTACAAGGATGTAGTGGCCTTCTTTGTCTCTCTTAATCAGTTTTGGTTTGGAATTTACTTTGTCTGAGAATAAGATTGCTACCCCTGCTTTTTTCTAGGCTCCTCTCACATGGAGAATTGTTTTCCATCCGCTCACTTTCAGTCTATGCACTTCCTTTTGCTCTAAGTATGTTTCTCATGTACAATCTGTTGTTGGATTTTGCTTCTTAATCCATTCTGCCAGTCTATTTCTCTTGATTGGTGAGTTGAGGCCATTGACATTGATGGTTATAACTGATATGTACTGACTTATTATTGTCATGTTATTGTCCTTTTCTTGACTCTTTTTAATTTTTCCCCTCTCTCTTTAGTTTCTTGCCTTGCCCATTTGATTTGCTCTGTTGGGCCTCATGGTATTGTGCCCTTCATTGTCCTTTTCTAGGATATTGTTTAGAATTCCTTGTAGTGCTGGTTTGGTATTAATGAAGTTTCTCAGGTGTTCTTTGTCATGGAAGAATCTTATTTCCCCATCCATTTTTAAAGAGAGTTTTGCAGGATACATCAGTCTAGGTTGGAGGTTGTTTTCTTTTAGTACTTGAAATACTTCAATCCAGGCTCTCCTTGACCTGAGGGTTTGTGTTGAAAAGTGTGCTGTGATTCTGATGGGCTTTCCTTTGCATGTGATTTGTTTCTTTTCTCTTATTGCTTGTAGTATTTTGTTGTTCTGTTGGGTTTCTGGGATCTTGATTATTATATGTCTAGGTGTAGATTTTTTTTGATTGTGGCTAGTTGGGGTCTTATATGCCTCAGTTATCTGAATGTCAAATTCTTCCCCTCTGTTTGGGAAGTTTTCTGTCATTAATTCTGTGAATAGATTTTTTTTAAGTCATTTGTATTTTCTCCAGCTACTTCATGGATTCCTGTCAGTCTTATGTTATTCTTCTTTACATCATCTAGGAGTTGTTTGATCAATTTCACATGATCCCCTACTGATTTTAAGAGACCTCTCTTTTCATGGTCAATGACTGCAATCTTATCTTCTATATCTGAGATTCTATCTTCACATTCTTTCATTCTGCTGCGAACACTTTCAATAGTTTTTAATCTCCTGGATATCTGTTTGAATCTGTTTTATGAATTCCCTTTCTTTCCTATGTTGGGCATTCACTGTTTCCATTTCTTTTTTATGCTGGGCGTTCATGGCTTCTGTCATGTTCTTGAGCTTATCTATTTTTTAGTCAGTTTCTGCTCCAGAGTCTCAAATCATGACTTTCATTTTGCTTACCATCTCTATGGTTATCTGGGAAATTATTTCTGTTTTGAATTTTTCTAGAGCCTGATTGATCTGTTTTGTTACTTCCTTTGCTTTGAGTTCAGGGTGTCCTGGTGGTTTACTACCAGTCTTTTCATCCTCATTTGCCCTACTGTTTGCCATTGGTGACGTGGAAGTCTGTCTTTGTGTCTTGCTTAAGTGTTTTCTCAGTTTTATTTTTGTTGTTGGATTGTCATTGGTTTAATTTTTGGTTTATTACTTAAATCTTCTTGGTATAGTTGTGCTTTAGCTTTTGGGTTTCTAATGACTCATAGACATTCTCATTTCCATAATATCTCATTTTCATAAATTTCATAAAACAGCTCCTTAAATCAATCACAATCCTTTATCCCAATTGATGTAATCAGCCACAAAATATGTTCAAGCACAACTTGCAAATTGACCACTTGTGGTAGTCATTAGTCTATCTCCTTTAAACCATGTGAATTAAATTAAAATCAAGAAGCAGCCCAAAATATGTTTGCAGTGAATAAACTTTTCAATAGAGCATATTTACCATTTAGAATGGGGGCTTAGACAGAGTTAGGATGAGAGGAGTAGATAAGTAAAAGAATTGGAGAAGGTTTCAAGTGAAGCCAGAGGACATAGAATGACCACATAATCTTTAGGAAACTGTTAAATTCAAAAGGAATAGACAGAGTGCAAGTATAAGGACAAGAATATATCCCCTTAACAGTAATAGGGGCTCACTTTCCCTTGAAACTATTGACCCTTGAGTGAGGTAGAATGACAGAAGAAAAGAACAGAAAGAAAAAAGAAAAAATGATAAAAGAAGAAATCTGAGGTAGGGCAGGAGCAGAAACAAAAAGGGAGATGAGTAATAATACAGTGGAGCAAGAGACTGTGTTGGAGATAGAGAACAGAAAAAAGAAAGAATTTTCAGAGTGGAATGAGGAAAAGAAAGAAGAAAAAAAGAATTTTAAGGGCCTGTTTCAGACTATATCTCTGCTGTCATAATATGCAACATGCACAGCCATGTGTAGAACCTAGTCTCCTGATCTCAGCTAGCCGATAGCAGATCGCCATGATGCAGACTGACCTCAGGCTGCAAGGCCCAGATTGAGTTCCCCAACCTCCTGAAGGGTGGAGCTCCGCACAGTTCTACTACAGGTTTCCCCCACCCCATCTTTAAAGATGTTCAAAGTTGAGAGCTCAGAAAAATACCCTTTATGACCACCTCTGCCTCTGCAGAGTGGGTCGAAAGAGTGGCACAATCAGGAGGTCTGAGAGTGTGGTGGAGGGTTAAGGGGCTTTCCTGGCACTGGAGAAATGGCGGCAGCACAGGCAGGGGAGGGCGCGGCTACCCAGTCTGCAGATTGGGCCCAAGCAGGCCTTCCTGGCGCTGGAGCAATGGCAGCAGTGCCTCTTTTTGTGTCTTGATGTAGCACACTATTGCCTTTCAAGATTTAATAAGCCTCAGACTCTTCAATAAAACAATATTCTCAAACTGCTCCTTTAAATTTTATGGTAGAAAGTTATTCATGTAAATGGATCAAACTTGCAACACAAGAATTTAACTTGCTAGCAGTAAAGGATCTTTCAGAAAATAGGAAATGAACATGCTTAGACTGCTTTACTTGTTAGCACTCAACTGATTAAAGTGCACATTAAATTGTATTAATTTGCTCTATGCATAATATATGTGTATGATGTAAGCCTATATTTAAAAATATACCAAGGTAGATGTACTTATGATTACATTTTGAAGAGTAGAACATTAATCATTTTCTGTTGCTATTTTCCAAATGTGAAATAATCCCTTTTGCACTTCTAAACTTTGTCTCTTCAAATCATAGTATAAAACTGTTAATTCATAGTTCTCACATGGGTTCAAAGTAGATGCAATATTCTGCTTTCTTCCATTGCCTTTTGGATGTGGCAGATGACTCCATCACTGTCTTCCAAGAACTGAAGGACCTTCTCAAGAAGAATGCCACAGTGGAGGCTTTCATTGAGTGGCTGGACACTGTGGTGGAACAGAGAGTTATTAAGGTACTTTTTGTGACAGTTCAAAAGGTAAATTTTTGGTTAAGTGTAAATGTTAAATTGGCTATAATTTCTTGACTGTTGGGGAAAAGGTGCAAGACTTTGTTTAGAAATGCTTTGCAAAGACTTTGTAGCTCTACAAAGAAGACAGATCAAATATCAAAACCAAGAAAGTGCACAATTTGAGAGGACTTGGCATGGGTTCTGTTTGGTTTCTCATTTCTTTACAGAGAGCTACAAGGTGCTGTTCCTTTCCAGTCAGTCAGTGACGTTGCACCAGGAAAAGATGAACTTAGAAACCAGAAAGACCTGGCACTTTCTTGAAAAGGAAGATTGCATAAATGCTCACAGAAGATAAAATTTTATGCATGTGCAATTCTGAATTCTAAAAGCTCAGAATTTTATGCTTTTTAAATTTGATTTCTTCAACTGTTTTGGTCACCCACCATGAAACAAGGCAATAAGAATAAATATCCACATCACTAGCTGCTGTGAGCCATTCCATATCAGGAAACTCATTATATCTGGGGATGGTTTTCTTCTACAAAGAAAACAGATTATTGTTCAGGAGCTGAAAAGTCTGTTAATTGTTCACAGAAATATGTAACCCTTCCTTTACACTTGACCTTCTGATCTAAGCTTTATCCAAAACTTAAAAGATTTAAATGTTTTGTAAATAATTTCATTTTATTGTTTAATTTTATTAAGAAACAAAGCCACATGGAATAAAGGCTTATTACCCTTAAAGTGACAGCAAAGAGAAAATAAGATTCACACCCCTTGAGAAGCCATTTTATTTGATCAACAAATGGTGTGCAACCTGCTGTTGTTCATCTGCCCCGTACTCTAGTATGGGATGTATGTAGTAGAGCGATGTCGGATTTTATAGTTTCATTTTGCTCCTTACTTTTAGACCAGCAAACAAAATGGAAGATCGTTAAAAAAGAGAGCTCAAGATTTTCTGCTGAAGTGGAGCTTTTTTGGGGCTCGAGTAATGCATAATCTCACCTTGAACAACGCATCAAGTTTTGGTATCCTATGCACTTTATAAAATTCTTATGTGAATTTTATCATTCTTCCCCAGTCATACCTTCTATTCATTTAAAAACATATTTCATTCTCACTGCTGTAACTATATCTTAATATTCAACTAGCAGAGAGTACCACTTATGAGCCTAGGGTTTAGAATTAGCCCACATATGGGAATAAATCCTAACATTGCTTTTTGTCTGTTGCTTTACCCAAGCCAGTCTGGTGGGAAGAACGTTCTTTTGATAAGGCTGGGTAAGGTCTTTAGTGATAAGGGTATAAAAACGTATTGCCTAGCATTCAGTAAATACTTATGAATAGCAGCCATTATTCCATTCCATTGGCACTTGGAAAACTTGGACAATTATTTTTTGTTTTTCAAAAATTAAATATCCCTTTTTTTTTAATTTCTGTAGTTTTTATTTATAATGCTAGACTTCTAGGCAGTAACTCTACACTTAATAATTACATTACAAGAAATCTTCATGTTATAAAATAGATTATAGTGAATTAAGTTGTCTAATGTTAAGTGGAACTGAATAAAATCAATGGACTTATACTGACAGGTGAACAAAATATATTGTCTATTTTCTGAAAAAGATTTTCTCATAGTTTAAATTTTTAAAAATGCACAGCACTGAAACTTGACTTCATTATGTTGAGAAATTTGAGGAAAAGTTACAAGAAGTTTCAGGTATTTCAGCACTCTTTCACAGAAAAATTACTCTCTTGCTTTTCAATTCAAAGAATATTAGTTTTTTTTCATTAACTTTATTGGGACATTCAAAGCAAACAATACAGTTACATTTATCACTGGGATCTTGTACCTTTATAGGATGTGCCTTGGTTCTTGTTTTTTTTCCCCATACCCCTGTCCTCCCTTTGCCCCCTTCATCCCAAAGAATATTAGTTTTGGCCTAGCAAGACATCTGACTGGGTACCTTTCAGACCATTTGCCCATTGTCTAATTATTTAGTACAAAGCAAACAGAAATGGAGGAAAGTAGAGCTCGTTCTCCCCAGGTCAGAGCTTATCGTACCCTGGTGTTCGCTCTTTTATAGCACAAAGAGTGTCTCACTTTCATCCGTGGTTTCCTTTGATGTAATTAGTGGCCAGAGAGCTGGCGGACAGTACACAGAGGGCTGGGCAGGCGGGACATGGGGAGATTAGGCACCACGTCAAGCATGTTGGTCTTAGCAGGTCACTTAAAGTCCAGCGAGTACTTGTTTATTTCAGTTGCTCCTTGTAAAGTGTGGTGAGATGGTCACAAAGATAACCTGGCTTCTCTCCCTCCCCTCCCCTCCCCTCCCCACGCTGTGTCTCCACTTCACTGTGTCCTCTCCTCTCCCTGTCCTTGAACAAGGCTCTTTTCATCTGATCCGAATGCTTCTGGATGAATACATTCTCCTGGCCATGGAGACTCAGTTTAATAATGACAAAGAGCAAGAATTACAGAATTTATTGGACAAGTATATGAAGAATGCAGGTAACACAACATAAGCATTATGTTTTTAATATTTTGTGTTGAAGCTTAAATTCAAGAGTTTGCAAGTGCCTATGTGGGTTTATAATAACCTGAGACTTTTTCTCCAAATATGTAACCACTAACATCATAAACTACACTAACAGAATACTATTTTCCCCTCCATTTATACATGGAGTAGTCAAAGTTCTTTACTGCAGACTTTGAAGTGTATAAAATTAGTTTTCTTAATTTCTGAGAATTCAGATACAGTTGGAGAAATGAGTGAAATGACGGTAAGGCACAAAATACAGTTCAAGATATTACATGCAGTAGTGTGTGTGTGTGTGTGTGTGTGTGTGTGTGTGTGTGTGTGTGTGTGTGTTTGTGTGTGTGTTAGAAACAAGCTTTGCGGTCATTCAGAGAGAGGAGACCTGTCTGCTTGGAGTGGGAAAACTCAGCCTCTGAAGGCTGGTGCGGAGTGGACTGCACAGAGCCCTCAGGACATGCACTGACATGTAAACCAGCACCACATCCATGAACACGGCTCTGCCGGCCTCCTCTGCTCTGGGAAGCATTCCTTAGGAGATTCCAGATTAGTTCCTCAACAGTTCCTGGGAACACAAGAATAATCCCAGGTCCCTTACTTCAAAAAAATCTTTCAGATGCAAGTAAAGCTGCCTTCACTGCCTCCCCGAGTTCCTGCTTCCTGGCGAACCGTAGCAAGGGAAGCTCGATTTCCAGCGAGGCGGTGAAGAACGAAAGCCGTGAAGAGACAGCCTACCTTCCTCTGCCTTCTGGCCAGGCTGGAGGCCTGGCTCCTGCTCTGCACCCCTTCTCTGCTGGGGACGCAGACAGCATGCAGCTCTCAGGTACGTGCACGATGGAGGTTTCAGCACGCCAGGCTGTTCCTTTGTTTCTCCGAACACACCTAGCCTCAGAGATTCCAAGAGCAAAGAAGACTTAACAATTTTATAAGATTTATAATGCTTCAGATAAAATTGTGTAAGATTATAAAACTTAGAATATTTTTGTGATTGTTTTACCAATTACCATTCATTTTTATTGATATCATTATTTACATGAGTATCACATTTTCGTGCTCTATAATTTATATCAGATGAATGAAAAGTTCTCTTCATGTAGTGGAAGAAAAACTATCTTAGGTGTACATAAGATCTTTTTTGTTATTGTTATTATTTGTTTGGTACTGGGGATTGAACTCAGGACCTTGCGCTTTTGAGGCAGGCGTGGTGCCCCTGAGCTACATCCTCATCCCTATAGTCTGTTTTTTTGAGACAGGGGCTTGCTGTGTCATTCAAGCTGGCCTCCACCTCAGGGTCCTCCTGCCTCAGCCTCCTGAGAACTGGAATCTCAGGCATGCACCACATCACCTAGATTTTTGGTGCATATAAATCTTTAATATGTTTTGAAGATTTTAAAAAAGGCAGCCTATTGATTTTTTTCCCTTTTTATTGAGTATATTGGTACAATCTAGGTATTCAGTATAGTTACATTCATTACTGGGATCCTGTACCTTCACATGACAGGTCTTGATTCTTATTTTTTCCCCTTGGCCCTGCCCTCCCTTCACCCCCTCCTCCCCTCCCCATTTACAAAAGCTTTATTTCCATTTTTTCATTTTCTCATATTTTTTTCTTTTCCCTTATTCCCTTTCCCCTACCCTTCCCACTTCCCCTACACCTTTAGCCCTTTTCTTCCTATTTCACACTCTTAATTATCCCATTAGGCTCTTGTGTACTATTACAGTTTTTCACACCAGAGAAACTATTCAGTATCTACATATGTGTGACTTATTTATTTCACTTAGGAGTATATCCTCAATATGTATCCATTTTCCTATGAATGTCTCTAATGTCTCATTCTTTATGGCTGAGTAATATTCCATTTTATAGAAAAACCACATCTTCTTTATCCAGTTTCCAACTGATGTGCGAATGGGCTGTTTCCAAGTTTTAGCTATTACAAACTGTGCCGCTATAAACATTGGTGCGCATATATCACTGTGGTATGATTGTTTTAATTCTTTTGGAAAGATGCCCAGCAGAGGGATGGCTGGGTCAAATGGAACCTCTAGTCCCAGCTCTTTGAGATATCTCCATATTGATTTCCATAGTGGTTGCACCAGTCTGCACTCCCACCAACAATGGAGAAGGGTTCCTTTCTCCCCACAACCCCGCCAACATTTGTTATTGGCAGCTTATTGATTTTGATGAGATTTCTCATACTACAAAGTAGACTCAGCCATTCTAGGATTAACTCTTACAATAATCTTACCCTGTGGTCTAGTGTCCTCTATGTGTCTAAATGAAGTTTAGTGGTATGGACAAGCTACAAGGGAACATTTCGAATCTGTCCACTGCTTTGTGTCTTTTGAAGTCCTCTAATGCACATTAACTTGCTGGGAACATAGAATTCTAAGCCTGGAAGGGCCTTGTTCTTCAGGGGCCTGATTGCACCAATGGTAGAGGGAGGTTTAGGGTGGTGGCAGCATTTGCAAGCTCCCCAGCTCATTTGTGGAGTGGCCACATTTGAGTTGATGTGTTTTGGCCACAGCCCCTCAGTGCATTTCTTTTATCCTAAAGACCAAGTCATCTAACACTCAGCATATTTCTTGGCCAAGGAGCAAGGTGCGCAGCAGAGCCCAGCTTTCCCAGATGTGGTCCTGATGGTCTTCACACTGAGACTCATGGAGCAGCCCAGCCTCCTCCATGGTCACTAATCCACGAGGCCACTGCTGGGATCTAAACCTGTGCTGCAAGGGTTTCAAATCTGGATTTTCAGTGTTCCTGTTATTTCTGGGGGATAGAAAGATCTGAGTCCATCCACTTTAATGTACCAATAAGTGAATGTGCTGGTCATTTTTTTCAGGTCCAGTGGAGCTTCCACAGAGCAGTGGTCCCCTGATGACACCACCCATTTCCCCAGCCATGGCCAGCCGAGGAAGTGTCATTAATCAGGGCCCAATGGCAGAGAGGCCCCCGAGTGTGGGCACTGGGCTCCCAGTACCCCCTCACTGCTCATCGTACCCTGAGACCATTTACCCTGCCCTCTCCCAGGCCTCGCATGACTTCTACGGGGCCAGCTCTGGCTACCAGGCTATGTTCAGAGCCCAGCCCCATGCCCCCTCAGGCCTCTGCCCTCGTGCTGAGCATGGCCGGTACATGGTGTGGACCGAACAGCAGCTTTCCCGAGACTTCTTCGGCGGCAGCTGTGCCGGGTCTCCTTACAGTCCCCGGCCACCCTCCAGCTACGGGCCATCTCCACATGCCCAGGAGCCTCACAGCATGCAATTTATCAACACAGGAAGCTTCAACTTCCTGAGCAATGCAGGTGCTGCTAGTTGCCAAGGAGCAACACTGCCTTCTAATTCACCCAACGGTATGAAAGTTTAGAGAATTCTCCTGGCTTTTGAGAAGGCAAAAGGGTAAACTCAGACCCTGAGCTACACCTCTTCCCAGTAGGGTGTCATCCATGTGACACTCCCAAAGCTCTTGGAATCTTAGACATTCAGGGCTGATTTCTCCCACATGCCACCAGGTTTTCTAATTCTTATAACAAAGTTTCCATTAAAAGCATCACAAAAAAATCAAAGAAAAGAAATATATAAAATCATACAATTGAGACCAACCTCAGTAGGTCCAGCAATGTTCTTTCCTTTAAAAATATTTTTAGTGGAGCATGTCCCTTCCAGAGACCCACAGCAGGCTTTAAAGAGCAGGACCAAAGCAGAGTCGCTTATCAGGACAGTAAAAGCCGGTGTCACCAAGCCAGAGAGGCCTGGGCCCTGTCAGCACAGCCAGGCTCTATGCTGCTCCCCCGAGGCTTCAGCCTCTGTGCTCTCTGGCCCAATCTTCTCCCACAAACAGCAATCTGCAGAGCTAGTGGGACCTGAAAGATAATGTAACCTGGGAGGCTAGTAGGGATTTTTTTCTTTCTGCCTAGGCAGACTTTATCAGCTCAGATAAGGAAAATGTGACAGCTCTAGTCTGCATCTCTCCTTCTGACAACTCCCCTTAAGAAGCACAAAAAGCATGGTAAACCATGCAAGCACACATTCAACTCTTATTAATCACAGCCTCAGATTTTAAAGTCCAATGTCTGCAGGCTCTGTTTGATCACCTTCCAGCTCTCTCCTCCCTGGAATTCTCTCTCTGTTTAGCCCTAACACTGTACTATTCTCAACCCTTGCTGGCCTAGGGTACTATGGAAGCAATGTCAGCTACCCAGAGCCTCACAGGCTGGGACCCATGGTGAACCAACACGTCTCTGTCATCAGCAGTGTGCGCTCCTTGCCTGCCTACAGCGACATCCACGACCCACTTAATATCTTGGATGATGGCAGCAGGAAGCAGACTGGCTCCTTCTACTCGGACACATCAACTCCAGGTACATGTTGGACCCCAGCAGTAGGTAAATCACTGTAGAGGTTCTTGAAACCATTTGAAAAAATAGTCACCCTTAGATATGTACCCTTGAAGGCATTCTGAGCTTGCACTAGATGTGTTGCCAGTGTCTAGCAAGTGTCTGCAACACAGCAGAAATTCAATAAGTCAGTGAGTGCAAGGACTAAAAACTACATCTCAAACCAGGTACAGTAACATGCGCCTGCAAATCTGAGATACTCAGGAGGCTGAGGCAGGAGGAGTGAAAGTTCCCAGCCAACCTGGGCTACATGGTGAAACTCTGTCTCAAAATAAAAAGTTTTTTAAAAGGGCTGTGGCTGTATCTCAAATGCTTGCCTGACATGTGAGAGAGCATGAGTTCATTCCCTCACACATTCATGCACATGCACGCACAGGCAATCTGTATATACATTTAGTCTATAATGAGCATGTCATTACAAACAACACAGATCTTTAGGCTGAATCTCTGTATAAGGTAAATGTTCACTAAGAATCAAAGCCAGGTGTTAGAGTTTCTACAGGGTGCTGGAGTCCTCCTCTGGAACTAATTTTAGCTCAGTGTAAGCACAGGCGTTGATGCCTAGTCAGACCAGAAGGGTGAGTGAGATAAGCTCCTCTCTGCTCCCTCAGTGTACCTTTCTAATAACCCAGTAGGAAGTGCTTCTTCCTTTCCTGGCATCACAGATGCTTCCAGAGTCCAACAGCTCATCTCTTACCATCTGCAAACAGCCATCGCTTCTTGGTTCTAATGAAGCAGAAAATTCCACTTTAGGAGGCTCCTCACCCTGGGCTGCAGGGTGCTGTGTTGCGAGTGTCACTATTAGCTCCACTATGTGCCAGGTAGTGAAGGCTCTGATGCAGGGTGGAGGAGGGAGTAGTCAGCAGGAGCAGGAGGATCGGGGGCTCCTTCACTTACAGAGCCTGGTCCTCAGGGGCAGACTGCACATCACCTCAGCAACGGGAAGGCAGAGATGCATGGCAAAGATGAAGTTGATTGGACAGCGTAAGATGGTGGATGACAAGGAGATGCAGCTCTGTGCAGGGTGGGTGGAGCGGAACCCTAAGCATGAGTACAGCCACATGCGGAAGGAGCAGTGAGGTGAGGGTCTGCTAGGGGGCTTCTTGGTGGAAGAGATCTGTGCAGAGCCGCTGAAATGGGAACAGGTATGAAAATTCAGTGGGCAGAAAGAAAGCCAGTGTGGCTTGGGTGGGGTGAACAAAGGAGACAATGGAACAAATGAGTCACAGAGCAGAGCAGGGGTGGTGAACCTCTTATGGCTTTCAGTGATAACAGACAGTTGGCTGAGGCACATGTGCCATAGGTTTTGCCACCACTGGTGCAGGGTTCATAACCAAGGGAAAGAAGTTGGGTTTTGTTTCAAGTATGAGAAGTCACTACAACATTTGGGCAAAGCGAAAGTCAGCTCTGCATTTCTTCAAGACCATCTGGCTGCTCCCAGAGGGTGAAGATTGGGACAATGGTGAGAGCCACCAGGCTAGTTAGGAAGGAGCTGTGTGGTCCGGATGAGAGAAGATGGTGGTGCAGATGAAGGGAGAGGCAGAAGGAAGAGTAGAGTTTTAAGATGGCCTTGAGTTTCCTTTATGAAGTATGGAAGAAAATAATTTCTGGCAAGATATCAAATGAGAAAAATGGGAAAAAAAAAGGTGGCTGCTCTGACCACATGCACTCACATTTCGAGCAGGTGGATGTGTATGCTAAATGCAAAGCTAAATACAGAAGCTTAAAGTGAGTGGCACTTACGAGAAAAGAAAATGTCAATCATTGTCAATTGCTAATTCTGCTTTTCCCTTCCAGCTTCCAGCTTGCAAACCCCAATTCCTTCCTCTTCATCGCAGTGTATGTATGGAACTTCCAACCAGTATCCAGTGCAAGAGGCCCTGGACTCCCATGGAGCAAGTGGTAGAGAGATTGTGTCCTCTTTACCACCCATCAACACTGTGTTTATGGGCACAGCAGCTGGAGGCACCTAAACCAACCACATCGAGTGGAGTTGAAATCGTAAACATCTCTGCAGTGCGGTTTACTCAGACTGTGATGGAAGTGGGAACGGGGCAGACGCAGCAGGCAGCGGGACGTTGTCCTTCGCGTCATTCATGCTACACACAACTCCACAGTGGACGGAGATGCTTGCGGTTGCCTTGACACACATAGTTTAAAATGTGATCTCCTTGTTAATCATAGTTTTAAACACTATCAAAGCAGTGGAGATTTAAGATATAAACATTTCGACTACAATGATTTACTATTTTTCTGTTTAATTTATTGAAAATCTGTATGCTCCTTCCTCTTTGGTCTCTAAAAAAGAAAAGAGTATATTTAATGTCTTTACAATACTTTAATTTATTAGGCTCTAAGAATCATTGTTTACTATCTATTGCTTGTTTGACCAAAAGTCAAAAGTATATTTTCTACCTCCTATGGAAATGTTTACAACGTCCGCTTAATTCATTTCAGCCCAGGCCAAAGTAGCTTGACTCTTGATTCCTCCACATAAGTGGAATGATTCGTATTACATAGCAGTAGACCAATTCTGTGTAACTAAACAGAGATGACAACGTTTTCTCTGTATTTAAGAAGATAAGAAATAAAATAATGTATGAAAATATTTTAAAATCTTGGTTGTTTTTGGGCTGGTATTGTTTTTGAAGGAAGCTGAAGATCCCCAAGGACAGTGCTCTTGGATATTAGTTGAAAAAAACTCAAGAACTTTGTGTATGAGATCCATGCCAATAAATACACAGGAATTGTGACTTGTGTATTGTTTGAATGTCCCTGAATTTGCAAAGTCTTTCATTGGGTACTTTGTTTACAAATTGAGAGTGAGAGTTCTGCCATCACTCAGAGACCAAAGATAATTCAGAAGTGAAGAATCCATCACAGAGAAGTTAATGCAACTTAGTAACCTATCTCTCTCTTTTTTCCATATGTTTTGGTTGAAATGTTTTTTAGGCCCATGGCCTGTAATAGGAGATTGCGGTTAACTGTACAGGTTTCTCTGTGATCTTATGACAGGACTCATGTCATTCAGCCCCAGACACATATTACACATCGTGATACACTTTGGTAAAGACAAACTGGAATTGTATTCTGCGACAATGAGCACTTGCCCATAGACTTGTTAGGTTGCTACCATTTACCTGTCTCAGGTGTCTGCCCGACTGAGCAGAGAAAGCTTGCAATGGTAGCAAAGCATGAGGTGTAGGGGACTGGATGTTCTATTCCTTGCCCTGACAGTTTTATGGGAGTATAAAGGAGGGAGGGTAAAATTAAAGTCTTGGGGTGAAATATAAAACAGTTTTAAGAAATACTTGGCCCTAAGTCCTGAGTTAGTAACCAAAATTTCAATGTATAGTGATTTCTTGTATATTTATATCCAACAAGTGTCCAACATTGCTCAAGACAACATGGAAAGTGCAAAGATGTGGCCATACCTTTAGAATATTTTGATATAAAGGAGAGGGAGTGATGTGATAGGAAACAGAAGCTCATGGAATATTTTTGAGATAAAAGCAAAGTGGAGAAGATGATGTTCAGGGATGTCTGGCAGCAGCTGGTAGGAGCAGGCGGGCTGGAAGGGGTGATTGAGAGGGCAGTGCACCCATCGGAGGTCAGGCAGATAAGCACAGAGATTTCTGGGAAGGGCATGTCAGAGAGAGGGAGAAGCAGAGTCACTTCAAAGAAACTGAGCATCATCAGAAAGAATAATTTGGAAGACTTTCTCTAGCTCTGCTTCTGTGCCTGTTCCCCCGCTGTGTGCAAGCATGACTGTGGTAATAGTTGGCCTCATAGCAGGGAGACTCAAAAGTCAGGTGAGCAGCACTTCTGGGTTTCATGTGCACCTGGCTGATAACATGGTGCTTGTTATGAAATCTTCCAGAAAAGGCAGGTGCCTTTCTCTTTCCCTTGGTGTGGAGCTGGAGTTTAGTCTGTTGGAGGTGAGCAGAGTTTTTAAATACAGGAACCATTGGCTTTCATGCAAAACACAGCCTTGTTTTGCTCCTCTACTCTGTGTATCGCACAGGGTTTGTTATCCTGGACTCTCAAACACTGAAGGCCAACAGAACTCCTCTCCCAGGCATTATGGCAATCAAAACACTTCCCATATTTCCAAATACCCTGCACAATTAGTGCTTGTGCCACCTGAGTTAAAGGTGACAGCATCTTTGAATTTTACCTATGAGGACCATGAGATAACACAATATCTCTCTGTCTTTCAGTTACATGCTTCATTTGGGCATTTTCTTTTGAGAAGTCTGAGCCTGGATGTTCAAGGCATTTTCTGATACTCTTTTGTTAACTTTGATATAAAAGCTACAAATATAATAACTTTATAGTGTTTGTATTTTAAAGTATTCCTTAAGTGCTTTTGTTTGGAAATTGTGAAATATTAATTATAAAGAAGTAAACTATCTAACCTAATGCATCTATAAAATATAAACTTAAGGTTAGAAGCCAGGATTTAAGAATGCTAGGGTTGTAACTCAATTCTTAGGGTGCCACTTTTCAAATTTTATGTAGTACTAGGTGATACAAATATGACAAAAAGGTTCTACAAAATGACAAATAAATACTCCAATTAATTCAGTGAATTCTTCATGCAATTTAGAAACCAAGAACATGTTTTATAATAATTTAAATCCTGCTGTATTATTAGCATTGAATCACAAATCAGAAAGGACCTGGTTTATTTTCCTCTTGATAGTGTTGCACCAGGAAAAATCTGAGCTGTTCTAGTTATATGTTCCCAAGTATACTTTTAGTTCAGAAAGTATACTTATTAAAAAATTTAAGCTAAATTCTAATTAGACTTGTGTTGTAAAACTCCTTTCTCTTTGTTCCTGTTTCAAGAAAGAAAGATCAAAGAGCTCTTCAAGATTTTACCTATGTGAGTCTCTTTTGGAAATGAAGAGGGTGGTGTTTTTGCTTGCTACTGTGCCTGAAAAGATCAGGCCTGTGAATATCTGTCAATGTGAGACACACTTTCACATTAGAGAATTGTCGCACTTCAAAAGCCAATCACACTTCTATGGAAAAGGAAGGTGGATCAGTAGGCTCTAAGGTTATCCCGCGAACTTTGTCCGTGGTGGTGCTCTGTGTTAGTATCCAATCAACTCAATCAGATGATCTGAGGGTCTGTGTCCAGAAAATGCACACACATGCACACACGCACCCCCCCACACGAAAGAGAGAGAGAGAGAGAGAGAGAGAGAGAGAGAGAGAGAGAGAGGTGGGCTCTTCCGTGGGCACCAGCAGGGCAGGTCCAGAGCTCTTCCAACTTGGAGCAGCACAGTGCTGTCATGACAGTGTGGGACAAGGCCTCACTCTTGACTGTCTGCTTGAATTTTCCAGTGGAGCCTCCAAAAGACACACTCTCTGTTCAGCCACACGGGGCACAGCTGCTTCATTGCACTTCCTGGTCCACGACAGTGTGTCCTCTTCTGCAGAAAACTGATTAAACAGTAAACTAGAGGTTCATAGGTTTTATGTTTAGAGGGTAAATCTACACAACTGCAGTATATAAAAACGGAACAAAGCATACTGCAAATTGTTTTTAAGTTTTTTTAAAACTGATAATATAAAACAAAAGTTCAACATATTTATGGGATATCAGGTGATATTTCAATACAAGTACATACTGTATAATGTTTAAATCAGGTCAAACATCTGTTTCCTCAAACATCTATTATTTCTTTATGGGGAAAACACTCAAACTCCTTTCTTCTAGTTTCTCTTTTTAAGCATAGCTCTTGAAAGTCAGCCTAGAGAGTGCATTTTGCTTTCTCACTCCTCCAAAATAAAAGAGAAAGGAAAAAGGGGGAAGAAAAAGAGGAGCAAAGAAGGGATGGAGGGAGAATGCAAGGTAGGAAAGAAAGGAACACCTCTAGACAAATGAACTCTGAAACCCGAACCCAAATTTCCAACTTCTCATAAAAGCTGAAGGTAATGACAATGATATATCAGAACCCTCAAAGGGACATGACAGGGGTCCATGCTTCTGTATAAAAGGGAGCAAAATTTATCATATTAGAGTGTACTGAAGTAGCTATGGGCTCCTATAAAGCTACTGTATACAGTTCAAAATACCCTGCATTTTGAGGGCAGATTTACAAGCCAGGATGAGTTGCAGAAATTTAAACAAAAACCTTCCATAAAAGTAAACAACAATGATTATGGCATACAGCACGTTTTGTTCTTTGGAAAAGATAAGAAAGATGAATTTATATAAAACATTATTGTACCATCTCATTCAATTACTGAACTCTAAATTAAATCCTTGAATTTGTAAATGGTAGAGAACACAACCTATCTCTTCTAAAAGCCTACTGATTAAATGAAAAGGAAATAAATTTCAGTTACTCCATGATTACAGGCATTAGCAATGGCTAAAAAAGAGTGGCTGTTTCAAGTGGATCCTGATAAGTTATCTAGTTACTAATCTGAAATATTTAATCATAAGTCTTAGCCTTGATTGATAAAAGTTTTTCTAGTTCTTTTCTAACATCAAAATCTTATAAATAGGGCTTAATCTTGACTGATCTTGGCTATATAATGCTATAATACCAATATTTTATTACAAAAAACTATTTTCCAGAATGAGAAACATAACTTTTCGATTTTTAAAAACAGAATTTAATATACCTAGAGAGATCTCTGATTTTTTAAACCAGGATTTCCCTTTAAATATTTGTAGTTTCCATCATATTCATGCAAGAGTTAGCAAGGACAGAGTTGGCCACTCGTGAGTTTGGCCCTCTTCTTTATCACCTCACATAGTCCTGGAAGCTTCTCTGTCCACTCAGCAGCATGGAAAGCTTTGGGTACAGATGTGGAGCACCATTAGGTGCCTGTTTCTATTAAAACCTTTATCTCCTTATTTACAAATCTTTCATTTACTCTCAATAATTAAGATTTATTTATCCCTTGAATAATTTTAATAAAACATTGTGGTAGTGTTTTTCAGTGTGGTTTTGCTAGGGAGTTAGTATGTTGAAGTTTCCAAAAGATAGTTTCTTTTACCCAAATTTTAACAAGTGTCAGCTTTTACTGGTACTAAGAGCACCAGAGCCCTCCGCTCATGGACCCAGTGGATTATGAAGGAGAGCAGACATTAGAGTAAAGAAGGAAAGGCAAACACGA